ATGTTAGGTTTGGTGTAGTGCGTGAGAACCGCTGACTGACAATGATTTGCTTGTTGGAGTCAGAACTGATGGTGTCTGTATGGGCAAACAGATTGACTTTTGGCCTTCTTGCTTGGGCTGCATGATCGTTAAAATTCTAATGAAAGCAAGGGTCACTTTTCCACTCCCATGTAGGCCTGATACAAATTTTGAAGGTGATTGATTGATGGTCTCCCAGAAACGTGGACTGGAGTCTGTGGTGAAGCAGATACGCGCTTCGTTGTCGCACATGGAAGACACAACAAGCTTGGTGCCTGTGTGGGAAGGGGGTGTATTTATCAGGAAATATCTCGGTGTTTTATCAGGAAGTGTCTTCATGTGTCTGATGTGGCGCTGCGTCCCTCTCTGTCCGAGTTGGCTCAGACTCAGACACACGGTCAAAGCAGCCCGCCTCCTAAATGATCTAACTGGTATCAAAAGGGGCGTAAAACACCTACCGACTATTCTCTCTCTTGCCCTTTGTAACTCCCAGTGGAGCACAGGCCATCAACAGCATTTCTCCAGCAAAGCCTGTCCTGAGCATCCTTTTCTATCTCTACTGACTATTACTATTACAGAAAAGTGGATGACAGTTCTCATCTCAGTTAGCTATTCCCTTCTGTTATTATAGATAGAGACCTCTCTCTCTCTCTCTCTCTCTCTCTCTCTCTCTCTCTCTCTCTCTCTCTCTTCTGACGCTGTGGCGTCATAAACGGTCAGCGATGCTGACAGCACACAGGAACTTGGCAATTGCTTGGGTGTCCTTGAAAAGATAGACCTGGAAGTGGTGGGTTGAGTCTTTGCTTACAGCCTGCAGTTCGAACCTTTTCCTCTTCTTACCTTCAAACATGTGGAGTCGTCTCAAATGTGCTGGAGACAACAAAAGAAACTTACTACAGGACTGTTGTACTGCTTTTTTACATTTTATTTTGTTATGACGAATTTTTAGAAGTTTACTCGTATCGGTTTTAATGAAATATAATGTCTCTCTGCGTGCAGCTTTTGAAGTCGCGCAGATCGACACCTGTGGTGTGTGGTGGTCAGGATTTTCGCCGAGGTTTGGAAGCCCATCTCCTTTATTATGATCTAAATTGTGTCAATAGGGGCGCAAAAACACCTACCATTTTTTTTAAAGAATGTTTACACCAAAGGAAGTGGTAGACAGAGGTAAGATGCTGTCTACACCTCGACTAGCTTGTTTGACAGAGATATGTGGCACGATGCAGTGGAATCAGGCACTCGTCAATTTTCGGGCATGTGGAGTTTATGGTGTCATCTTAAAGCTTGTTCATTTGTCTTGCTTTCGATGAAAAAAATACCCATCTATCTTGAATAAAAGTGGAGATATTTCCAACTGAAGAAGGTGGGGTCACCTGGTATCAGAGGTAACATTGAGAAAATGGTCGCCAAAGTTTGGTAACTTACACAACTTGAGAGTCCTTGGGAAATGAAAATTTAATTTTTCTTTTGGTGCATTAAATCGTTATTCAGTAATGTCTTCACAGAAATTGCTTTTTTTTAATAGACGTAAAAAGCGTTGAGCCCCCCCCCCCCAAAAAAAAAAAGCTAAATCGGCGGGAAAATGCCATTTTCTTCGATTTCATTATTTTGACGAGCGCCTGATTTCACCACGATGTCTCACATATATGGTACATACTACAGACCTCTTGAGCTATGCACTATGGTTTTCAATCTGTAAACTCTTCCATCTCTTTTCTAACTTAATCTTCCATACTTCACTTGATCATATCCTTGTGATTTGTCAGACAGTTTGTGTTGAATTGAAGATCCGCGTAAATATATATAATATATGTATCAAGACTGAGAATTTCATCACAGCTCTTTGTATCGTGTCAGTTCTCCGAGCGGAGAAAGACTCGCGGAGAACTGTCTTGAAATTCTTATAGCCTTGTATGTATGTCAATCATAAACTCTGCAGTTTTGCTTTGATTTTAATGTGCAGCATTATTCTGCGCTTTAAAAAAAAAAAAAGGATAAAAAAAGGTAAAGATGAAGTGCAAAAATATCAACTTGTAAAAATAAAAAATACAATTAAAATGTTTGTGCACTGCTGTACTTGTAGTCATGTTACTGTTACTTGTTGAATTCTATGTACATCTTTGATAAAGCAAATAAAATTCATGTTTCTCACATATTTTCTTTTTCTTAGAACCTGTTGCCTGTTTTTTGTCCCCATTGTTGTGGGTGGTTGGCTTGTGCTCTGGTGTGGTTTGCTTCTTCTTTCCTACCCAACATCTATCGTCTGTATCTCCCCTCCTTCTTTTTTGTGTTTGTTACTCTCTTGTAACACCTCTAATCTTCGGCACTTACATGACCTTATTGTGTTGCAAGTGCCGTAAAATTCTTACTAAAACTAAACTTTCCCATTGTTGTCCAACGTCAGCTGTCTTTTTTAATGTGCTCAGTGGTTGGTTGGTTGGTGGGTGTTCTGGTGTGGTTTGCTCCTTCTTTCCTTTCAAACATCTATCTTCCTTAATTCTCCTCCTTCTTTTTTTGTCTATATTACTCTCTTGTAACACTTCCAATCTTCGGCACTAACACTTTGTATGTACATATAAAACCTTTTTTTTTGTGGTAAGTGTTTTACGGCGCTCACTACTGCATAAAGCTGTATGAGCGTGCAGAACACATTAACTAATTACAGTTGGGAAATTTTATTTTTTATTTTGCTCGGATGGCGGCAGAAGCCTACTCTTATCGATTTTGGACCATCTAGGGATCCTTAACGTGCGCAATTTGCACACGGGACCATCGAGATTTTTCGCCCTTTTCAAGAAGGCTAGGTGTTGGATCTTACTTACCATAAGAAGATCAGGTGTGTGGCTGAAAGACAGCAGTAAGATAGTAAGAAGGAGCCAAGGAGTATCAGTAGAAAGGCTGCACTGCAGAAACTGAAAAAAATATCATATATATATTTAACTGTGGTTTAATATGACGCCCATCGACATAACTGTAGATCATATCGGAAGCGGACTACTACTTCGACTATTTGCCTATCAGGGCAAACCTGGGCTGAGAGTTTTAGTAAGAGTTTTACGGCACTTGTATCACAATAAGGTCGTATAAGTGCTGAAAATAGATTAGATGTGTTACAAGACAGTAACATACACAAAAAAGGAGGCAGGAGGAGAGATAAGGACGATAGATGGGGGTTTTTTTATGTGAAAGAAGGAGCGAACCACACCAGAGCACCCGCCAACCACCCAGGCTGAGACAGCGTCCTTGCAGAAAGACTGATAAATACAGGCCTGCTCGAAAACAAAATAATATAATAGCACTATTCATACTCTCAGGAAGTCAGGCAGCTGCATAGCAAAGAAAGTTTTAGATTGGAATCCTCAGGGTAAGAGATCAAGGGTAAGACCGCGTGGAACCTGGAGAAGAATCTCGGAAATTGAAGTACAGAAAAGTGGGGAGACATGGAATAACACCAAGAGGCTAGCCAAGGATAGAGAAAGATGGAAAAATTTTGTCCGTGGCCTATACCCTGGCGCAGAGTGAGAAAGGCATTGATGATGATGATGAAGATGCTATTCATATTGCAGACATACTCGGCAGTTGCATAGCTACCCGTTGTCACAATAATAGTCTATTATAATAAATAAGCTTATTGGGCTACGTCAGTGCTGAAACAAAGGCTTGGGGCTTGATGTGACTAACATTACGTACAATAATCAATCGCTATAAAAATGGTATATTAGTAACGCCACAATGACTAAGCAAGGATGTTAGTCACTGCGGAGCCTTATAATAGGCAACAGGGTGCAAGGTCGCTTTAAAGCACAAGTGGGGGCTATCCCGAAAAATGCTGTTTTGAGAACATCGAAGGTAAAGTTTTTGCCCCTAGTTCACCTTGACCATCAGTGATTTATTTTTAGAGGCACCAGCCAGCCATGTAAAATATATAAATATAAACATGCCCCTCGTTCAGTTTCTTAAAAAAACAAAAACAAGGAGAGTCAACAGATGCAAACTATGCACCCATATAATCCTTGATCTCAAACCATTAAGGCGTGGCCACGGGTGGTTCACGGCGGGTGCTCTGCTAGTGGTGTCGTTTGATCAATTCTTTATTCTGTCTATCAAGTGTAGCGAGGCCTCTGACTACAGCGTCGTTCTCTCTGCTCCTTTTTTTCCTTTCTTTTATTCTAATTTTTAAAAATAAAATTATTCGTATGCTTGCATGCTCACGTATATGATAGACATCTAATCTTGGGCACTTTATAAATGAATTAATTATTTGTGTTGCAAGTGCGGTAAAACTTTTGAGTCTTAATAAAACTAAAATAAAGTAGAAATTGTGAAAAGAGAAGCGTTCCCCGGCCCATCGCTCAAACATGAACAAAATAATAAAATTAGCTAATGTGTTCCATCACGCCTTTTGATCGTCTTCAATTAAAAATTGTCTTGTTGTTTTGTAACGTCTGCTCAAGAATGTTTCCATTAAGATCACGAAAAAAAAAATTATGCGTAAAAGCTTTAAAATGTTTCAGTTCAGGCGTTTATTATTTTAAAAAACACAGCTGCGTGTATACGTGTTGACAACAATCTTTTCATGTAGGCCTATTAGTACTCAAATCATCTGAACCTCTTTCAGCTTCTGGTCAAATCTTGAAAAGGAAAGTGAAATGACTACGAGTGTCGAGTACAAGCCGCTCAAAGTGCTGGCTGTGCTGCTACAACTACAATGTTTGACCTTAAGTCGCCCCCACCAGTGACCAGACGACAAGCACGCGTTTCACACCAGACGACAAGCACGCGTTTCACACATGTCATGTACTACCAATGGACGACCCCGATACTTTCATCGATGGGTGTCGAGGAGAGAGAACGATAACAACAAACTAGGCCTATAATAGATACTATAACAAACATCGAAAACAACCCTGCCCAGCTGTTCAGGGTTCAAAGTTCAAGGCTGACGTAATCTGGTTGTCATAATAGCTCTCTGACTCTCTGATAGGTTCTGGACATGCGCATTGTTGTACTTTCAGTTTCGATTTTGTTTCTAAACAGAGTCGGACAGACGGAAAGCGACGTGTCCTTAGCACAAGGCACGAGACAGAGAAGTTCTGAGCTGAGAGATAGGTTCTGAGTAGGCCCAGTGCGTAATAGAATTGGGTTCACTGAATGAAACATCAGTCATCGGTGCTCTTCCCCTTTTACCTGGCGCCATCAGTAGCGTAAAAATATGTCAACCCACCCCGTCACGGAAAATGTAAACTAAAAACTAAAAAGAAAAGTAAGTGAAGTATTCTAAGTTCACATTATAATTACAAATGAAAGCAATTCGATATGTTATAAGTAGAATGGATCAAGATCTAGATCTAGAATCTAGATCTAGAAAAAAAAAACCGAGATTCTTACAACAAAAATGACGTACGTGTTATAACACAGTTGTTGCCAGTATTATCCCCATAGCTTTAAACGTGATCGAGCACCTCTGGGACAAGATGGACAAGGAAATTCGCAGCCTTCGGCCACCCCCAACGACAATCCCACAACGGCAACAATCATTAACAGATGCTTAGAATTAGATATATATTCTCCAGCAATTTATCCAACGACTTGTGCAATAAATGAGGCAGAGATGTACAGTAGTCATCAATGTTGGTGGGAGTTACACCCGTTACTAATTCTGGGGTTTTGAACATTCGAATCGGTGTTATAAATTTCTAATAAAAGGCGTGTTTTTGATCGTTTTTCTTAGTTTTCTTTGTCTGCCCTTATTTTTAAAAAATGGCAAGCCTTTCAAAATCTATGGGCAATACGTCATTACTACGGTACGGAACGGAAATAGTGCACAGAACGTAGGGTGGCCACTTTCTTTTGCTCGTCAGTATATATAAATAATAATATAAAATATGTGCCTCACTCTTTAAATTCAAACCATTTGATTAATTAAGACTTACTTGATCTAAATGTACACATTTTTTATTAACACAATATTCTTAGTAAGAAAGAACACCATTAAATTAATCTTTTCTTCTATATTCTCAGGACTGGTACACTGGACTTGTTTTTACTTTACAATATGATGAATGATGTATAAATAAAGGCTGCTGTTTTATTTATTTTTCCACCAGATTTGTCACGGTACCCACAATACAAGATGCCTCGTCTCATTTCGTTCCCCTGCGTTGTTGTGCTGCTGGTTGCTGCTCTCTCTGCGTCGTGTTCGGCACAAGGCAGTATTTCTGATGACGTTGGGAACATTCTGTCTTCCATACGGAATGTAGTTGGAAATCTTGAAGACTTTGTTGGAGATCGAAATGGCTGTAAATTTGAGTGTAAAAATGGTAAGGTCGACTTCCGCTTCTACTTTTATCCTGACTTTAAAAAAAATTTGAAATGATCGCAGAAAAACTACCATCTCGACTGTTTTTTTGTTGAGTTGAGTTGTTCCAGTAATATGTGGTGGTGACATTGTTTTTAGATGACTCTTGCAGTTGTAAAGTGCTATCAATTTTTCTACTGTAGTCTAGCCTAAAGTGTTCTTGTCTCTTCTAAGATTTTGGCTCAGTGACAATAAATTTCACTGTGTCCAGTTATACTCCAAGCCTCTCAATAGTATCCACTCAAATAGATTTTATATTATGCTCTAGAATATACTTCTGTTTCTTTGTCGTACTTCCTCTTGCCGTACTTACTTACTTACTACCCATTACGCCATCTGGCGTTTAGGGCAGCAACAAAGGATCTCCAGCTCTGTGTGTTTTGGGCCATCTTGGTCAGCGTTCACCACGAATGATTCCAGGACTTCATTTCAGACTCTACTGTGCGTCTCCAGGTTACTTTGGGTCTGCCCTTTTTACGACGTCCTTCGGGTGTCCAGTGGAGGGCAGTCTTCACAGTAGAGTCTGGCTCTCTTCTCATTACATGTCCAATCTGTCTCCACCTTCTCCTTTTTATTATGGTTGTCATGCCCTCTTGCCTACATTTACGTAACAGATCTGCGTTGGATATCTTGTCAGGCCGGAAGATTCTGAGAATTTGGTGTAAGCTGGTTGTATGAAAGGAAGATAGCTTGGCACGGTCATGATCAGTCATCCTTCAGCATTCAGCTCCATATAGGAGTGTGGATAGTACACAGCTGTTATACAGCTTTAACTTGGTTTGTATACTAAACTGTCCTGACTTCCAGATGTTGATCATGCTTCTGTGTACAGATCTTGCCTTGCCGAGTCTGTTCATGATGTCTTCCTTTGCGCCGCCGTCAGTTTTGATTATGCTGCCTATGTAGGTAAATGGTGTCTGTTATAGGCAGGTCTGTGTTGTTCACTCTAATCAGCGTTGGGGAGCCTACATTCAGTGTCATCACTTCTGTCTTCTTCTAGCTTATTCCTCTTGCCTGGTTTTCCTCAATTTTTCCTTCCATGAAGGGTGTCTTTTCATATATTTGTTGTTTCTCTTTATGGATTTTGGCCTACCTGTCTTTCTTTTTTGATTTGGTTTATATTGGGTTGTTTTTTTTCATTTTCTTAAACCATTAAAGTTTTACTCATACTCTACCATTTTTTGGAGCGTTTTTTTTTCAAAGGATGATACGTTGTTGTATGTTGTGAGCATATTCCTTCCAGACAGTGCTGCAATAACTGTGAACATTGGTGCCTCTGTTTTTTTAAAAACATACAAATGTTTAAAAGTTGCATTCCATCACATTGTGCGCAATGTTAGCGTCATTTCTTTGGGGACATAGTTACAGTTTTATATATATATTTTAAATAACATTGTTTTACTGGTATTTTCAGGAGCCAAACCAAAGCCAAGACCTTACTATACACCAACATCTAATGGCTGTGGTGCTTTTGGCATCAAGGTTAGTGAGTAATGGCGTGTCATCTGTCCTTTCTTTCTGGCCCCACTTGTCTACATTACCAAGTTTTGGGTATACTATAATTGGATATTATGCAATGCATTGGTAAGCCTGCTTGCCGTGGAAGATAAATACATCTATAATATGGTCGCTTTTAAGCACAAGGGGGCTATCCCGAAAAATGCTGTTTTAAGAAAATCGAAGGTAAAGTTTTTGGACCCTCATTCGGTTTCTTTAAAAGACAAGGAGAGGTTTCTCCATGACCAAAAAGATATACACACCAAAGAAACCAAACTTTTCCTATTGGTGGGGAAATATCCATTTTTGGTGCACGTCAAGATTTCTGGAAACCCCCGAAATCTGGGTTAGCCCGCTTGTCCTTAAAAGCAACTATATATATTTTGTATAGTATGTATGTATTGTTATGCCTATAAGTACAAGGGGTATGTATGCATGTTTTTCTTCCAATTTAAAGAACCAAACTTTGTGTATAGTATATATATATATACTAAGCTTGACACACCTCCTACAATATTCTGTTGTTTGAATGAAAGCCATTGTGCTTTATTTTTCATGGAATGGCCTATTAGCACACACTTTCTTTGCTATTGGTTTATTCGCAGCTGGAGGATCATATTGCCATCAAGGGTGTGACGAAGTGTTGCGACGAGCACGACTTCTGTTACGACACATGCAACAACGACAAAGACACGTGTGATAGAGTGTTCAAGAAGTGTCTGCAGCGAATTTGCAAAAAAGTGAAGGGAATGTTGACAGATAATGTGTACGAAGGTACGTAGTTCTTTATTCCTTCTCTTCTTCTGCCCGTTCTTCTTTCTGTTCTACTTTCGTCTGCCTGCATCGACCCAGCTCTGGGAAAAGTTTATTGTTTCTTAATCAAATTTACAGGTCAAGATCAGGCAAAATTGTTTTTACATCACAACAATTTTCGCAATCAGATTGTTCATTCATTGTTCATTGTTTCAGGAAGCAACATCCCTGCATTCCGGACATGTCCATTGATGCTCCGTTGCTCTCTCCAAAATTTTACTCACTGTTTCTTTTCTGACAAATAAATGAAGTCATTTTCACCGTTTTTCCCACAGGATGCAAGTCGACTGCAGATCTTCTGTTTGCCGGCACAGTGGCCCTGGGCTGCAAGCCTTACAAAGACTCCCAGGAAAAAGCTTGTGTCTGTAAAGGAGGTTTTGCCAACAGGAGTGACTTGTGATATTTATATATAAGAACAATATGTTGAATATGTGTCACGACGTGGTGAAATCAGACACTCGTCAATTTTTGGGTATATGGAGTTATTGGTGTCATTTTAAAGGTTGCTCATTTGCCTTGCTGTTGGTGAAAAAAATATCCATTTATCTTGAATACAAGTTAATTAAGATATTGGAGATTGAAAGAGGTGGGAGTTGCCTTGTTTCATAGGTAACATTAGGGAGATATTGGCCGCCAAATTTGAGTTATTTCTTCAGCTTGAGAGTCTGTGGGAACTGAACATTTACTTGTTGTATGTCTTTAGTCAACGTTTTTCAGTAAAATTCACACAGAAATGTGTTCTTTAATGGGCATGAAAGGTGTCGAGGCAAACACAAAAATTTGATAAAAATTCCCAAGCCTGCAGAAAAATGCCAGTGTCTCGACTTCCATTAATTAGCCGAGATCCTGATTTCTCCACGCTGCCTCACATATATCAAAGATGATTTTATTTTGAGGATGAATGTTTCAGATCTACCAGGTAGGCCCTACTCCAATCAAATCGGAGGAGCTCTCGGGGGGGGGATTAATACCGAAGTCTGTGGGACAGCCAAATCTTCTTCTGCCAGATTGCTGGTGTAGAAAAGTTGCTCAAATAGAAGCAGAAAAAAAAAATCAAGGATTATATTTTCTTTCGGTTTACCGCTATTTTTTCAAATTACTTGTGTTTGGTGTAAGCGGACTTACGTTATATTTTGACTTTGAAGGGACTGTCTTTCTATATATTTTCCATAGGTAGATTACCGGTACCAGTGATTGTGAGCTCAGAATGCTAGTCTGTTTGTGAAATCCAGTCGTCCATTGAGCTCAAGTACAGTGCCCAGTGGGTGATGGGGATCCAATTTTTAGTCTGAATGGTCCTTTTATTTATTACTGAATATTTTACTTTAATTTGTGTTTTATTTTTACTAGGCTGAAGAAAAGTCTTAAGATACGAAGTATTTTTAAATAGTTTTGATAATCTCACATGGCACAATTTGGATGGTATTATTAATAATTATTATGGTATGTCTATACTGTGTTTGTTTAAGTCCTTTTTGTCTTTGACTTTGACTCCCATTTATTTCCCAAAATAAATGGGTTTTTTGGGGTTTTTTACTTTAAATTCATCCTTGACTCAGTGCAACTTGACACTGTGGGTCTTGGATTTGCATAAACACATGAGATTGAGAGAGAATGATGCTGATGCTCATAAATGTTCTGTTCTCCACAGATCCTCATTTGTATTTTTTAATGTTTCACAAAATGCAAAAAAATAACCCTCATTTGTATTTTTAAATGTTTCACAAAATGCCATTAAAAAAACCCTCAGCCACAGATTAAAAGTTACAAGCAGCCATTTTCCATGTAACTGATCTGGTAGGTCATTTCGTTCACACTGACTGGCACATATTGTGTGATGTGTTGCGGTGTACGTGGTGTAGTAGTGAGTTTCTTCGCCATCGCACACAGAAGACTGGAATTTGATTCTCCAATGAAGTCTTGTGTGGAGTGTCTCTGTCTGTCTGTCTGTCTGTCTGTCAATGACAGTAACAATCTTTATTCAGCTGGCAGAGAAAAATGCGTCCGCTAAGATTCTGTATCGGTCACTCTTAGCCCAGGTTGCCATGACTGGCTGGGGTGAAGCATCCCACCTCCACTAGGATAAAATTTAAACCGTGTCAACACGTACTACATGTATTATGTATCACATTATTGTAATTGTGGTGTCTAGCAAGGTCTATAAAGGTTTTGCCAACAGGAGTGACCTATAACCTTTCTTTCTCCCTGGATGTTAAAAGATCATCATTAGTTCATGATGGAAAAAGTATTATTATTTTTGTTATTATTATTAGTATTATTATTATTGTTGTTGTTGTTGTTATTTATTTATTAATGTTGTGGTTTTTATTAATTTATTATTGTTGTGGTTTTTATTTATATATTTATTTTTTTATTTTTTTTGTGGTAAAAAATCATTTGAAAAAATTATTTATGTTGTTATTATTACAATTACAGTCGAACCTGCCCTGACGGCCACCTGTACAAACGGACACTTTCCATTTCCCCCCTTGCGTTTTTTCTATACAATTTAACTGTGTAAAACGGGCACCTGTCCAACGCGGCCGCGGCCACCATATTTCAACACACAACCCCTATCAAACAAAGCAAAAACACCTGTCTTAGACGGCCACCTTAGTGACTCCATTACGCATTGTCATAAATTGTGCATTGGCCCCTGGCGTTGTAGGCGAGCCGTCATAATCTAAAAACCTGTCATTGTTAGGTAGTCCCTCCAACTGATCATGTTGCGTAGGCCCCTCCCACTGTTGACCAATAGGTAACAAAATTAATTTTCAGCTGCTGTTAGGTAAGCGTGTGATCCCTCATAACCCATAAGCCCCGCCCAGAACCCATACACAAATCGCAAGCGAGATGAGTGGTCACTGTTTACCCAGTCTGTAACAAAGTAACAATGGACGTCAGCATGAACTTGTGACTGAGGCGTCGCTTGTTCTCCGAGTGGAAGTACGGGTGTTTGTTTCACCATAGCACTTGGTCCTCCTTGTCTGACACATTTAGTTTTATTGTCACCCGTGCACAAAAGCAGCAACAAAAGAAAAGAAAACCCAGCGAAAACAACAACAACAAAAACAACAACAACAATGCAACTACCTTCGGTTGGGACCTCAGAAAGGAAGGGTTTGTTTTCTCAGAAAGGAATCGTTTGTTTTCTTCATCTCGATCAGTCCTGCCTAAGACGGCCACCTGTCTTATACGGCCATTTTTCTCCTTGACAATGGGTGGCCGTCTTACACAGGTTTGACTGTATAATGCTCATGCTGCAAAGTGACATTGATGTAAGAGTGAGTGATTGATGTGTTTTTTATGAAAAACTTTTTTGAAAATCTCTGGGGTGCTAGAAATGAGAAAGAAGGGGAAATATAACTGTCCTCGCGGTTTTATGCAAGAAAAATTCTGCAATTATGCAAACTGAGCCCAAAAATGTGAAATTATGCGACTCTGTTAATTTTGACAAAGAATGATAAAGGAAAATAATCAGAAATTATGCAAAAATTGATCAAATTTTGCTAAATTATGCGGGGTGCGTAAAACCGCGAGGATAAATATAAGGAAACTTGGCAAACAGGGTGCCAGACCAAGAGATGGGAGGAGATTATGGCACTGAAACGTTCAGTTTTTAATTCTGAGTTGAACGCAGAGTCTCAAAAAGCACGATATGTCGGCAAAAAATGCAAATTTTTCGCCAAACTTACGGACACGAGCAAGTCCTGCATGGTAGACTTGAACACAAGGGACATTTTCTACATAATATATATACAATTTGATACTAGTCTCTCTAAACACCTTATTTTCATAGACCATTTGATATATATACAAGGAAAGTCACTGCTTAAAAAGTTAACCCATGACTATGAGTATGAGAATGGAGTTGTTTTATTCCAAAATTTTGGGATAAAAAGAGACTCATATTTTATTCTTCTTGTTATCACGTTGTAAGTGTTTAGTGTATCGTGTGCAATTCCATTTTCTGTTATTAAAGTTATACAGTGGAGTCCACCTAAAGTAAAATCTGCATTTTCTTTGGTTTAGCTGGGTTTTTTGTTCAGATGGGCTGCTCAGACAGAAGAAGGAAAAAATCTGGGACTTTATTTTTTTTTTTTTTCACTGCTGTTTTCAGATTATTCATAGCGGAATCCACTGGATGCATGTGTAAAAAAAATGCATAATTTTAATCTTGCTGCTGAATGAAATGTGAATTTGTCTCAGCAATGTCTGGGGAGTCTGATGGTAATTTTTGAAGCATTGCTATGAAAAATGTGAAGGATTTTCATTTTATGCTGATTTTATTGTTTATGTTTATGATGAATTGATCATAAGTGATTGCCAAATAAAAGTTTTTACCATACAGAATCTTTCTTTTTTCAGGGACTGAATGCTTTCTTTTTTTTTTCTTACTTGTGGATGTGATAATGCCTAGTGCAGTGCTCGTTAACTTCGCCAATACCGTCCTCTTGTGGGAGATTTTAATTTTAGTAATTTTGATGGTTTTTTTAGTTTTAGTAAGAGTTTTATGGCACTTACAACACAATAAGGTCATGAAAGTGCCGAAGATTAGAAGTGTTACAAGAGAGTAACAAACAAAAAAGAAGGAGGAGAGACCAGGAAGATAGATGTTTGATAAAGGAAAGAAGGAACAAACCACACCAGAGCACCCGCCAACCGCCCACTAAGTTCGGTGGGTGGTGAGGATCACCCGAGTAATGACAAGTGTTATTTTTATTATGCCGTCCTGGGAAATTAATGAGTGCGCTGGCTATAAAAAGATTATTTTAGTTTTAGTAGAGGTTCTACGGCGCTCGCAACTGCATAAGGTCATATGAGCGCCAAGGGGTGGATGTCGACAGAGAAGAACAGGGAATCAGGTTTACTCTGCTCACCTCTCTAGCTTCAACAGTACAAAGTCTGCTTCGACTATCAAGGCACCCCGGAAATAGCGGGTCACAAGCGTTTGTACAAAAGAAGTAGAGCAAAAATGACAATAGTAAGGATTAGGAAACAAAAAGCAGCAGTTCCCAGTTGCAGTTCAGGCACAGTTATGAGCATGACATTGTTGGATCAGCCTATTTACAATTACAATTCTACTGTGCATACGAACTCGAGGTCTAAAAAGGTTGACATGTACTGGCCTAGTGATGTGTAACACAAAGGAGACAGCTCAAGGTGAGACCTAGGCTCATGAAAAAAAAACCCAATAAGTCGGCTAAGAAAGATGGAAATTTTGCCAGATGCGTACAGCGTAAAAATAAGTTTCTCTGTGGTTATGAAAGCTTCAGGGTAATCTGGACAACTTCTCAGTCACAATAGAACCTGCTCTAATGACCATCAGATTTAGTTTTAGTAAGTTTTACAGCATTTGTAACACAATTATATAATTATGCCACAAAAAATGTATCTCTGTGGCGATCAAAAACATAATCTTATCTTCTATCTTACTTCACGCAGACTTTAATATTATTATTGACGAAATAGAACTCTCACATAAAACTGCCCCCATGGTTTTATGCACCCCGCATAATTTAGCATTATTTGATCATTTTTTGCATTTCTTATTATTTTCCTTTATCATTCTTTGTTAAAAAGTAACAGAATCGCATAATTGCCCCTTTTTGGGCTCAGTTTGCATAATTTCATAATTATTTTTGCATAAAACCACGGGGATAGATAAAAACACAACAAGAAAAAACTAAAGAAAACACTTGTTTGCATAGATTTATAGTTTATTAAAAGGGTAAGATTAGACTGATATTGAGATAGAAGAAAGAATTTGTTCCAATAACTATTGTGTCATCTTACTTAGTACAGAACATTTATTTATTTATTATTATATTATAATGTCTACTTACAACTAATATACTACAAAACAAAAGAAGAACCAACAA